GGGGGGGGGGGGAGAATAGTGTAAAGGCAGTTATATGCGAGACGCAGGGTAGAGCTTAGAGCCTATCGTAACTCGGCTGCAGAGCTCAGAGCCTACCGCACCTTGGCTCTTTGTCGTAAGTGCATGGCAATCACAATAAGCACACCCTCACCTGATCATTTGTCCTTACCTAAGCACCCTCTCTCAAGGGACCTACTCCGTCAGAACGCACCACGCGCATTTAATGCGGTTGCTCCGTTAAGGCACGTTACATTCATCTAAAACGTCTACTCCGTCAGGCATACCATGTCACCATTATTGGGTTGACCAGGCCACGTGGGTGCGGACAAGCCATGTGGGTACCTTGGCAAGATGGACAAAGCCCACAAGGAAAGGTATGATAAATAGACAGAACAAAAAAAGGAGAACATTCATTAAAAAAATACTGACTTAAGTATCGAAGTTTTTCCTCGAGGACCAACCTCGAGATTTTATAGGACCAGTTGAAGAAGAATCATACTGAAGGAAGATCTTGAAGGTTTTTCAGCAACAACACCTTTCAATTCAGTTGTTCGGGTAAACAGACTCCCAACGACCTCAATTTAGTACTGAACACCGAAGTCAATAGAGTTGTTTTCTCTTAGGTGGACTGATGTATTAATCCTATTGAATGCTTTTTTGCATCTGAAAATGATAAAATATTTAAATGTTTATCCGACTTGCATTTAAAAAAAAAACATTAATTGTATATTTTTTTTATAATTTATATTAAAAAAAAACTTTTTTAAACACCAACGTAATAGTACAATAGTATTATAAATTAAAATAAGTCTATTGACAATGGTTTTTGTTTAAATTGTTTTAAAAACCATTTTTTAAACTTATTTTAATTTTCTCTTTCAATACAGTTGTTGGTATAAACATTCACTAGCGTAATATTACAATGGTATGTATAAACTAAAATTCAATCGCTTCTCCTATGAATTTGTTGTTGGTTTTTTTGAGGCCAACATAAAAATTCTGTTTTCTTCTTTCATCGTTTTAGTTATTTTAAAAATTGTTTTTCATAACAAAAGGGTTAACAAACGGTAATTTGGGTGTCTTAGCGTATGTTTTTTAAGGTTTAACTATCTTTAATGAATTATACCTATGGATCTTGATATTCATCGGTACTGATTACCGCTATACCTATAATTAATTATGACTGTATGTATAAAATTTCTATTTATACCTATATTAAGCTAATTTCATAGATAAAATCTTTTATTTCTTACAAATTTTATATATGTAAGTATATTTAGATGATAAACATATAAATTCACAAACGGTAGGTATGGACACCAATACCTATAGAATTATCAGTGTAGATAAAAAAACAATGT